TTAAAGCTCTGAGTTCCTGGAGGTTATTAAACGTGGTTGCTAGCACCACTTGAAGTCCAAATTAAGAGAAAAAAAAGAAAGATAAAGCAGCTCTGGAGAGGGGCACCCCATTCATGGAATTTTTTTTTTTTTTTTTTTAGAGAGAGAGAGAGAGAGAGCTGGAGGATTCTGGGAAGCCCCTCAAATTCTACATATCCATGCATTCATTTTTTCTGGAGAGAATGTCTATAGCTTCTAGAAGATTCTCAAGGAAAACACTGACCCTTGTTAGGGCTCACAATTCCCAGACCCCGAGGAAGTCCTCACTGATAGCTGAAAAATATTTTGTAACTATATAATAAAATAGATGGCATTTTACCCTCAGGAAAAAGAGTCGTAATACTATCATTGGTCTCTATCACGTGGCTTAAATTACAAATTATCTTTCAAGTTCCATACACATATTACACATGAAGGTTATAAAAGGGGTTTCACCTCTGAAGCATCAAAAGACACATTTTGCTGCATCGTTAATTTGGTACAGAAGCAAGATGCTACTCAAATACTAATTAATTAAGGGTTGACTAAATAGTTTTGTTTCTTTCCCTGAAATTTATAAGAACTTTTTTGAGGGAGATTTAAGCTTAAATTGCTCTTAAAACAAAACCCCAAAAATCAGAAAGGGAATGCCTTGATCCAGTCAGAGATCCATGTCAATTTTGTCTTTTAGAGGTCAATATTGGGGTTCCAAGCCTGAATGCAAAAGGTTATGGAACACACGTAAGTGCAGCAGCAGTAGTACAAGATGCGGTCACACAGCAGTGGGCACAGCCCATGACCCAATTTATGGACAGAATCTAGCCCTCTCCTGTAAAGATGCTTTCAGAGAAAACAGTTGGACTGAACTCTTTCATGTTCCTTGAAAGGCCCTGGTACCTGCCCCCCAAACTGCTACCAAGAAGGCATTTCTGCTCAAAAGTGAGAGAGGCCAGAGTAACTTACCAGAAGCAGGTGGTTGGTCACTGGGGGTGCTTCCAGATCCCCTGGCTGAGCCTGGAAGTCTTCCATCAGCCCCATCCTTGGGGTGGCTGCCCCCCTCTGTCCCTCCAGCCACTCCTTCAGGGGGAAGCCCCATGCTGTGGGCACACTGGGGCAATGGTCCCCGTTTCAGGGAACCCATAGTGGGTTCATGGTCTTCCCTGGGAGGGCCCCCACAGCCTGTGCAGCCCTCTGCTGAGTCAGAGCTGGCCGCCCAGCCCCTTTCTACTTCTTTTTGTAAGCATTTTTCAGAATTCACAGGGATCCAGTCAGTCCTGCCTGGGGGCTCCGTGGAGTTACAGCTTTCTGAATCCTCTATGCTCTCGGTCCCTGTGAAGCACTGACTCAAACTGTCATTCTCCCCCACCTCCAGAGGCTCCGGGAAAGGGGGTGTAGATTTGCTTCCAGGTTGGGTCAGGAGCAGGGAAGAGTCTGGGGGTGGTGAGCGCCGGTCCACGTACTCATCTTCCGTGGGAATCTGCCTGAAGGGGTCCCCCTCGGCCTGCACCTCGCTGACCAGTGAGAACATCCCAGCATCTTCGTGGGGTGCACAAGGCCTGCCTCCTGCACAAGTACCCCCACGGACACCAGCACCATCCGGAAAGCACATGTCTTCTGGGACCATCTTCTCCTCCACCGTCAGCAGTAAGGCACCTTCACGCCCTTCCCGCTCACTGGAGGCTGCAGGGAGAGTGCAGCTGTCCCTCGAGGTCTCCTGTGGGTCACATTGAGAAGGCAGAGGCAGAATACCCCAAGTTACTGTAACACAGTCAGCTAAGCACTGCTGAAGACAGTGTTTATACTAATTATTTCCACCACAGCAAGTACAGGTGGCACATTGTCTGCGGCACTTAAATTGTGCTGTTTAAAATTACAGAGTGTGGGAGAAGCAGACAATGTCACACAACCAGAAACAATGGATCTTACCGCATTTCAAACAAATGGCACATTCACACCTATGCAAGGAAAGATCTCACCCAAATAACGTCTGAACACAGTATTTTGATAATATACTCTCAATCAAATAGGCAAAAATAATAACAACACGAAACCAAACTGCAACCAAAGATGGATCTCCAGTTAGTAGCTCTGTGTTTTGCTGGGGTATGGTTTACTAATTCTGGAACTCCTTTTTTTGTGTTCTAGAATAAGGCAAATTAGTCAAATCTTGAGAATAACATTGCTAGAGAATGGAAGATTCAAATAGGAAAGGTGATGATGAAAACGAATCCTGTGATGTTGGGACTGGAATTGGAGAAATGAGTATAAGGCTAATACAGTTTTAAATCTAAGAGAACAGATCTAAAGGACAAAAGGGAATAATTAGTGGAATTTTAATATCAAATGTGGATGGGAAAACAGTATTTTACTATGTTAAATTTCTTGGTTTTGATATATGTACTATGTTCATATTTGAGAAGGTCCTTTTACTTAAGAAATATATACCATGAATATTAAGGATATAGAAATACTTCATTTCCATTCAAGGAAAACATGCATATGCAATCATGTTTACACAGAGAGAGAGAAAGCAAAGACTAAAGCAATGTGATGAAACCTAAGCAATTGGTTAGTCTAGGTATTGGGAATAAGAATGCTTGCTGCAATCCTCCACTATTTTTCTATAATTTTGCAATTATGTCTAAATAAAAGGTCACCAAAATAACTACAGAATAAAGGAAAGTTATAGCTCATTGCTTCTAAGAATCTGTACTAGAAAATCAAGATTAGCACTAAAAAAATAACATTTACACAGAGACAACATAAGTGGAATGGGGCAGGGCTGGTAGTATGAAACAAGATGAAAAACAGGCATTGAGAATAAGACTGGAAGAATAAGTTAACACTTGGGCCCTGCTTATTTAGAAGGGATCTGTCCTAGGATTTGAGGTTTGACATCCTACATAGAAGTGCCTATTTAGTGATGGGGCAGAGTAGCTGACAAATTATAGTTCTATTAGTCTAATAGTAGGAAGTGCTTTAAAAAGGTATTTAAAGTCTTTTAACTTTACCTTATTTCCACCTAGACGGCCACAAGCATCATTCACCCAGTGCCACAAATTAGCTAGAAAAACAAAGCAAGGGTAAGGGCTTTATATTATAATTTCCTATTTCTTTTTTAAGTAAATGTTATTTGTATATTTAAGCTATACAACTTTATGTTATAGGATAACCAGAAGTAGTAAAATAGTTGCCATAATGAAACAAATGAAACTATCCCTTATGTACATAGTTACTCATTTGTGTATGTATATAGCAAGAGAAGCTAAAATCAACTCACTTAGCAAAGGTTCTCAACACAGTAAAATTCTCTTCTCTAGACTTGTTTACCCTTCGTACCTGCTACTTTGCATCCTTTGCCATACATCTCCCTATTTCCTTTCCCCCTGCCCCTGCTAACCTGCTATTTTATTCTCTACCTCTGTATATTTGATTTTTCCCCCTTTTTCTTTTGATTCCACAATGCTTTTCTTTCTGTGTCAGGCTAAACCACCTGGGTCTGGGGGTACAGTTTAGTGTAGAGCACTTGCCTCATTTGTGCAAGGTCCTGGGTTTGATCTCCAGCTAAGGAAATAAATAAGTAAATAAACTCATTTCAGTACTATGAAGTCATTTTACTCCTATTAAAAACAGAACTTCCTGCTTTATGTAAAGCAAAACGTGACCCATTAATGCTCCACTGAGTACCTGTGGGCACACCTGGGGCTGGAGGAGCACTGTCAGACTATAGACATTCTCATTTCCTTAACAACTTTTCTTTGACTATGAAAGACCAGGCTAGGCACAGTAGGGGGACACTGTATCAGTGCCTAGGACACCGATTCTCCCATAAATTAGCTTAGATATATGTGTAATAAAAGTGAGGTGCGTGCTGGAGAGCAAAGGGCCTAAAACATTTTCCACTGTACCATCTTGCTTCTAAGAAGAAACAAGAGTATGTTCTGTGGCATATATAAGTGATAATCTCTCTATTAACTTTTATAAAAGAAAAGTGATGAATCTAAAAAGTGAAATCTATGAATTAACAAATAATCTGTGGAGCCAGGTGTGGTGGTACACACCTGTAATCCCAGCACTGGGAGACTGAGGCAGGAAGATCATGATTTACCTAGTGAGTTCAATGTCAACCTCAGATACATAGTAAGACTATGTCTCAAAACAATGACAATAAAAACCTATGAATTTATATAATGCAAAGATAAAATTTTAGTTTACTTCTAGTGAATATTCAATGTTGCATTCACCATAAAGATTAAAGTCAGGAGTTGTCAATTGTTCATTGGAAGATAATCATGGCTCATTAATAATACCTAATGACATCACACATACTCAGGAATGGTGCTAAGCAGTGAATATGCATCACCTTCACGCTACGCAGTCTATTATGTGATAGTTGATATAGCTTCATGAAGCCTCAGTTTCATCATCAGAAAATGGGAAAGTGTCTACCTCACAGTGCTGTTGGGAAGATGTATTTAATACACCTAAAATGCATATGGCCATGTCAGTTATTGCTACCACCACAACCACCACCATCATCATTTTAATTTCTATTCGATAATTTTGGAATTTTGGCAAAATTCCAAAAGGACAATAGGAATCAGTACTACCAAGCACAATGGGTACTGAAAAGACTTGTCCACAGAGGTCATAACCATCCATAGCTACCATGATCATCTCTCCCATGGACAACTGCAACGCCTTCCTAGCTGGTGTCCATGCACCTACTCTTACTACAAACCCCCAATTTTTTCTACACTAAAGCCAGAGAGCTGTCCTTGCTTTCCTTCACTAAAGATAAGGAGCAAACTCCTTAACCACCCTGCGGGCTGTGACATCTGGCTCATCATACTCTGGTTCCCTGACTTTCAGCCCCAGGTGCATGAGCCTCTTTCAGTCCTCCAGCTCACTCTGCATTGTCTTGCAATGCTCTCAGTGTGGAATGCTCATGATCTTCCTTGGTTCCCTTTGGGCTAGTTAATTCCAGCCATCTTTCTACCTGTTTCCTCCTCTGGGAGGCCCCGGCTAACTGCCAAGGCTGATGCTCTGCCACTGGCTACCAGATACTTGCCACCTTCCCTTTTAGTCTTCAGCTTCATTCTGGGAACCTAAAGCTGATCTTGTGCACTAGCGTATCTCCACCAGGAGGTCTTTGGCTGTGTCTGTGGGGCTCAGTGCTGAGGCCCCAGTGCCACGCCAGTCCCTAGTAGCTAATAATATACACAGGTGGAATGAATGAATGAGGAGAAATCTAGCAGCAGTCCTAATTTGTAATGAAGAAATTGACAGGCCTATTGTTTTTCTCAATAAGACATGGCAAGAAACTATTATTAAAGGAAACAACTAAGGAATAAAATACCCGGAAGTCTGTCTGTCTCATAAACATGACAGTTCAAAATGGTCCTCATCATATGGCCGTGCCACCCTGGGAAGCATCCAAACCCCTAGGTATGACTTTATTAGGGAAATGAAGGTGTATCACTTCCCAGGCTACCTGGGAAGCATTTCTGCTGTTTCATTTGTCTCTCTGTCTCTCTCTTTATCTTTCTCTGTGCTGGAGATGGAACCCAGGGCCTTGCAAATACTAGGCAAGTGCTCAACCTCTGAGCTATATCTCCAGCCCTTGTTTTTGTTGTTGGTTGGTTGATTTTTGTTGTTGTTTGTTTTGAGCCAGGATCTCACTAAGTAGTTCAGGTTGGCCTTGAACTTGCTATGTAACCCAGGCTGGCCCTGTATCTCCGATCCTCCTGCCTCTGCCTCCTGAGTGCTGGGACTCCAGGTGTGTGCCCTCACACCCAACTCCTTTTCTCTTTTTAAAAATAGCTTTTAATTCCCTCAGTACTGAAAAGACTCTTTAAAACCGCTCTCTGCTTAACAATTGCATCTTCAATCACCATTTTTCCTCTTTAAGTTTCTGACTTCCCAGTGTTATATTAGGCAATGCAATGTTAATAGAAATAGCAAGATGCGTGTGCTTCATGGAGTCTGTGGACATGATGAAAAACTGACCAAATCCTAGCAGGGCAGAGGTGGATGATATAAGCAACAGAGCAAGTGGAATGGAAGAAGATGTGAAATGACAGGTTCTTCAGAACAGAATGACTTGAGTATTAGAAGGTAAAGAAATATCTTGAGCAAACCTAACAAAGGCTTGAATCCTTTCATTAAAATCACACTGCTTTTGGCTTTCCAGTCTGAAAGTCAGACATGATGTAATATTTAGAGACACTATTGAGTAATTTTTGCAGAAAAATTACTTCCCAAGCAAGAAACACTTGATTATCCATTCTAAGAATGAACACTTAAATTTTACTGAATATAAAATAAATGATTTTCATAATTTTAGATTCATGTTTCAAAATAACCCCCCCAATAAAACTTTCCCTACTCTACCCCTTACCTGGACATTTTGTCTTAAATGGGTACGTTAAAAATGAATACATTCTAGGATAATTGCACCCCTCTGTGTATCTGATTCTGCACAATCTATACAACTTAGACACAGAGCTGATAAGGCATCAGTTTCCCAAATGCTGGAATATTCTCATTTGCATGTACAAACAGGCACAATGTTAGGAGTTTCTGGGTTTTTTTGCTAGAGAACAATTAATCAGATATAAAAAATGTTTTACCTGAAAGTGTAGCCACCGCAAGGCACTTATTTAAGATAGCCAGTGGATGGTCTACTTATCTTCCAAAGCATTTCTCTAGAAATGTATCTTTTTGAAGATTACTTTTCAAACACTGCCATAGACCCATACCTGTGAGTGCTTTCCCTTTCTTCCTATAGTAAATGCCGAAGATGACAGCAGCAACCAGTGCCACGGATGTAAAGAGAAGCAGAATGACCAAACTAGGCAGGAAAACATGGGTTTCTGCATTGAAAGAAAAATGAGAAATACGGTATTAAAGATTACATCATTTTACTAAATTAAAAAACAAAAAACCTGTAAATCCCACTGTGGGTCTGGGATAACAGAACTAGGAGGGTCCCCACCGCTGCTGACTATGTCTGTCAGACAGTGCTCACGTTCCAAAGGGTGGACTCAGACTGGGCAATGTAGGCCGGCCCTGCACACTCTGGCTTCCCTTCATGTGAGCCAGCCTGGGACAATGATTACAACTCTAGAACAACTCTAATCATATTTACCACGACATCTGCTCCCTCTCTGCTGGCCCCCAGAACCCCTCACTCTCTCTAGGTGGATGGCCTCAGCAGGCAGAAGGAACCCCTAGCACATCTCTATCCAAATACCAACATGGCTTCAGGGGTTTCCTGGCCATGAGAACAGAACCACAGCCACCCTGGGAAGTATATCTACTCTTTCATCTATGACATAGTATGGCCTGAATCATTTTCTTTATCCCTCCTCAGTCACTTGATTTCTAAAACCCTTGCTTTCCTGGACTACCACCTTTCCTCTTTCTCTCTTTAAAATAATAACCTTTAATCCCCTTCAGTTATTTTTAATGCCGTTTTCAAAATGGTCTTTTAAAAACTCTTCTCTGATTGTGTGATTCTGTATCCAGATCCTTTAATGCCCTTCTGTTTTCCAAAATATCAAATCTAAATGCTTGATTTTCTTGGTCCCAGCCTGTTAATCTAGTAGCCTGTGGCTAAAGCCCTCTCGCCACTTCTGGTCTCTTCCAAGATTTGGACTCACTTCACACTAACCCACTCACCTGGACTAGCCAGCTGCCTCCATTAACCAGCAACTTTCTGTCAGTCTTTGAAATTGTACTTAAAAGTTAATGCCATCTACAAAATGTTCCATGAATAATGACAGCTAGATTCCAACAAGTCGCAATCTCTGGTTGATGACAAAAACCTCCCCATAGAAATCACCCTCCCATGTCTGGTATTGTTTCCAACTTTCTTTCGTTTGTACATTATTAGTTATTCCCAATCCAATGGAAAAAATTATCGGCTTGCCTAGCACATGCGAGGTTCTAGCAAACAAACAAATCAAATAAACAATATGTGGAATTAAAATACTGAGAGAAATGAAATACTGAGCTGACCATGGATTGGGATGAAATGAAAAGGCACAGAGGAAGCCCTGCAGATGCAGCATGGGATTCTGGAAAGAAACAGACGGCCTACCACACTGGGGCACATTTTCCACCCAACAGGCTCTACTTCATCATACCCTCGGCCGGAGTTCTACGTGCACTGCACACCACATCTTTTTTCTCTGTCCCTCCATGTGCCTCCATCTTTCCAAGGTTGCTACAGCTGTGGAGGGGAAAGTAGTTAAGTGCTGTGGCTTAATATTCTTGTATAAACAAGCAGATGAACACCAGGCTCTACTGCAGTAATTTTTAATAGGAATATACTGGGAGCAAGCAATAAAAGGACCCAGGGATTCCACTACAGACATCTCACGAAAGTGTGTCACAGTATATACAGATTGAGTATTCCTAACTCAAAAACCTAACATCCAAAATATTTCAAAATCTGAAACTTTTTGAGCACTGACATGACATCATGATTAGAAAATCCTATGCTACAAAACTTTGTTCACTCATAAAAATATTGTATAAATTAAAAATGTTGTGTAAACTACCTCCAGGCTATGTATATAAGGTATATATGAAACAAACATAAATGAATTTTGTGTTTAAACTGGGGTTCCCTCCCTAAGATACCTCATTGTGTATATGAAAATATTCTAAAATCTATAAAAAGTCTGAAATCCAAAACATTTCTGGTCCCCAGCATTTTGGACAGGGGATATTCCAAATGTGTCTATGAGATCATTCATTATAAAATTATTCATTATTGCAAGAGTCTAGGAATAACCTATATGGCTATCATTAGAGAACTTATAAATAACTTGTGATACATTTCCACAATGAAATATTATGCAACTGTAAAAATCCACAAAGATCAGGTGAGCAAATATAGAAACAGCTTCAAGAAATATTACATAAAAAAAAAATCCAAGGTGTTTACAATGTGCAAACATTTAAATAGAGACTTCTATATGTACATATAACACAACACACACACACACACACACACACACACACACACATCTCCAGGTGAATAAGTAACAACGTCAAGAAGTTGGGAAAAGCAGGAAGGGTAAGTGAATGGTAAGAAATGTCATAAATCAGGCTAGGGATGTAGCTAAGCGGTAGGGGGTGTGCTCAGCATGCTTGAGGTTCCATCCCCAGCACACACCACACACACACTCAACCAAATAAGGTTACAGAAAGGGTAGCTACGAGTACGAGTCATAGACTACTGCATCTAAGAAGCATCATAAAGTTCCTGTCATACATTAGGTTGAACAACTGGTTTGATTGGCTTATTTTCCCCACACTGAATCAACAGACTTTTTCCATGAGGAAGATAATGGAGGGACTCAGCCTGTTTTCCACCAAGAAGAAGACAGTGGAGGTTGAGTTATTTAAAAAACCAACAAACTCTCTTGGCTCATTATTGTTACTTACTTGGTCCAGGGTTTGCATTTGTCTATGGAAGAAAAGGTATCTGAGAAGTAGCCTACAGGGCAAATCTTGCACACCGTGTCTGTGTTGAGCTGCACTGTCAAAAAAATCAACAAAAATGACAAACAAAAAGCAAGCAAAGATACTTAGAGATCGGCCAGGATGGTGTTCTAGAGGCTGTCTGCTTCTTGTCTCCCCCATACCTTCCCCATAGCTTGTGTCTGATGGCTTCAGCTCCCTCAGGCTTGGGCCTAGGAAGCAGTTCTAATGCCAGCAGTGAGTAACAGAATTGTGTTCAGAAGCCAACTGGCTCCATGTCAGATCACTCATGCCAGTGTCTGATGTCCAGTCCAGGCCAGCTTTAGGCCTGACTCTGCTGTCTAGAACCACTGTCCTGGGCACCAACATGCTATTTCCTCATCTGGGAGCCAGTATTGCTGGGTTTTGCTGATGACTTTGCTACTCTTTCCTTTCTACCATTATGGCTGCACTGACCTTCATCTGTAGAGAATGGCTGCTCCATTCTGCTTTTAAAGGAAACTTATTGTTCTGACCCCTCCTGGTAAACTTAATCTCACCAGTCAAGAATTGCAGGGGCCACAATATTCTTTCAGCTAAAAAAAGAGAACAAACAAAAAGATCCTTGTAGGTCTCTTTCTCCTAAACCAAGGGTTGGTATCAAGTTTTTCTGTGAAGGGCCATATAGTAAATGTCTTTGGCTTGGCAGGCCTGTTGTCTCTACTCAACCACTTGCAGCACAAGGCAGTCACAGGCAATGCATAAAACAAATGGATGTGGCTGTGTTCCAACAAAACTTATTTTTAAATATAAGTGGATTTTGGACCCCAGCCTTACTCCACAGCACTTGAAGCAGGAGTTGATGCTGGTTAGTGGGTTTGACTCAGCTCTCATATTCCTCACAAGCTACGTTACCAAAATAAGAGCAGTCTCGGGGCTCCTGTGTCTGTGACCTGTACTGCAATTGCTTCATGACCCTTTGGTAGGTCTGGTAAGGCATACTGGCTACTATGTGAAATCATAACTGGGCAATTGAATGGTGCCCAAACCACAAGTTACTCTTGAAATCAGCAGCACTTCTGTGACCTATTTTCATGACTATATCCCCAAATAACGAATTAAAATTTCTTTGCTCCAAGTCAGATAGGAAGTACATTCTCAATTTTTGCAATTTGGCTTAGTAAGTAAGGTAGTCACCCATTGATCTAGCTTTGAGATTTGCCTTGAAATAATACTAACGAAGGCCAGTAACATCTACTAACTCACAGGAATTCAAATGGCTTTTAAAAAGATGAACACAATCTGGAAGATTCTGAGAAGCCCTCAAAAAATGAAGCTTCCCAAGGGACTTCCCCACATACAAAGGTTCAAGGGCATTAATTTCCATACCCTTGACTTCCATGTGACTCTTCGATAACACCAGAAGCATCCTGCAGGCTTCATTCCCTTTTCCCTTCTTCGGTCCTGTTTCTCCTGCTTACAAAACCCACCCCAAATCCTGCTGTGGTGCCAGACCTCTGAAATGCCAGAAATACAAGTGGAAATACTGGTGATGGCAAAACCCCTGCATTCTCAGAAGCCTGGTTCGGCTTCTGTCTTTCCCCATCTACTGAGGGCAAAAGCGTGGCCATGGAAATGGGGTATTTGGGTCTAGCTTGAGCTGTTCTGAATTAAAATATACTGCAAGGAGAGACAGGAGTGAAACTTTCATTCATCTAACTCCTCCCCTCCACCTGCTGTAAAAACTGCCTCATCTGCTAAGGTGCGAGGCAGAGAGAATATCTATCAGAAACCCAGCAGGCAGCAGCACCTTATTTCACACAGAGGACAGTCTTGTGGAAAGGCTCTGGGCCTGGTCTATCTTAGAATCAGAATTCAGAGGGAACTGGCTGTAATAGGAGGTTTATTTTAATAATTAAAAATCAAACAACATTGAAACCTGTTGAAATCATTCTAAGTAGAGGGGGTGGTGGTTGAAGGAGAGTGATGGTGGGGACAACCTAACCAAAGTACAGTGCAAGCCAATATGAAAATGTCACAATGAAACTCCTTGTACAACTAATATATGCTAATAAAAATGTTTTCAAAAAGCAAGTCAGACTTTTTCCAAAAGAAAACATGTCTGCTTGGTCAATGCAATGATAACAAAGCCTGGCGGTGCCAGTAGGTCTCACTGGTTACATACTTTCCTTTACATGAATTGAAATGAAGAATATCTAGTCATGTCCAAGTATTTTGGCTTAGAATAAAGTGAAAAATTTAACAAGCATAAATAATCATTTGTTACATCTTGAGGACACACAAAAACCCTGTTTTGTAATACTTCCTAGAAGTTGGGAAAGCAAGTAACTCTAAGAAATACTCTTGCAAGTCAAAAGGATTTGTATTTGAAGGACACAATAGAATTCTCAGATGACAGATAGATTATTAAAAACAACTTCGCATGTCATATCACTATGTGATCGTGGACAGATAGCTCAGAAGATACCAAAAGAATTAAGACCTCTCAGCACTTACATATGCAACAGCAAAAGGTGCAAATAGAATTGGTGTTGAGTCCTGGTGCATTTTAGCAGTAATATCCAACCACCAATATATAATCGGGAAAATTTACTCATGAGGTCCAAAAGCTTTTACTTTTATGATTTTGATATAGCAAAATGTAATGTATTAATTTATGACTAATTGTGCAGTAATAAATGTGGTGACCACTTGGTTCAGAAGAAATGTTTTTGACCCTGAGAACCTAAGTTAAAATTATAAAAACTGAGGTTTCTAACAGGCTCCTATTTTTGATATAAGGGAACAGAGATTAGTAAAGGCCCTTGGCGAATAAAAATATTCGGATGAAATTCTATGAGGAAGGTGGAGTGGATACAAATCAAAGGAGGGCAAAGAACTAAGGAAAATTTCCAACAGTTAAATATGACTCATGCATGTTCAAATGGAAGGTGGTAGGTATCAGTCTGCTGTGGTTTTCAGATTCCAGGGACTACTTTGAAGTGTTACTGTAGTTATAAATCCCTGGTAACTAAGTCCTTAGCAACTCTAAATTTGTAGTTAAAAAAAAATTGAAGACGTTAACTTAAAACTGTGGCCCTGGGTGCATGCTTTTTCAAGATTCTTCTACTAGAGGGTGCACAATTTAAAAGCATACTGGAGGATCCCTGCTCTATCCTCTGTTCCTAAGTGGGGATTGCGTTTCACAGGTGGAGGAGAAGGAGGGCCATAAAGGGGGAACATGGGCTCTGCTCAAATTGAAGCGCCTGGTCTGGCCTACGCCTGAGTCTTTTGGAAAATCAAGGGGACCTCTCGGGTTCCTCCCCTAAGCGTCAATGAAAACTTCCTGGGGGCTCGCTTGGGGGGTTCACCACAGCACGCACACACATGCAAGCATGCAACCGTGCATCCTTACAGGGGTGCTGGGCGCCAAAACCGGGCGCGCACTCGGTGTTGCGGCGGCAGCACTCGCAGTCCTGGCTCCAGTGGTAGCCGGTCGTGCAGGCACAGCGCCGTGGGGACGTGCGGTTCCCGGGGTCCACGGCCACCAGAGCCTTGCCTGTGGGAGACAAGGACAGGTCAGAAGGACAGACAGGAGGCACAGACCATGCGCCATCCAGTCGTGCACTGTTCAACATCCAGCCCAAGCCAGATCCTGCCTGGATGCCTTACTGGATGATTCATTCCATTGGGGACACTGAGTTTAAGGAACTCCCAAGTTCCTCCTTGCAATTCTGTGTTGGCATGAAGACACTCAGCAGTCCCCTGTCACCCTCTACTAATTAAAAGTTTTATGGAATTACTAAAAAGTCAGTTTTTATGTCAGGGGGAATATATGATTACTGAGTACTTTGGCAAATGCACAAAACAAACAGTATACAGTCTTGATTTTTAATAAATTGAAATGTCGTAAGTATTATTATTGCCACAGCTAGTGTGGATGCAAGAGAACAGGGCTTTTGGAGATTTGGGAATTAGCGTGGGATCCTGGAGGGTCCCAGAAAGTACAGGGGTACAGGAAGAAGACTGGGGAATCAGTCTCTCCCCAAACACTTAGGGCTGCAGGTTTTTCTCTTCTTTCAAAACATGTAGTACAGAGCTATCTTCTTACCACAATCTCCTGACCTCTTCCAATTTTCCTGGAATATCACTCCATGGAAATTTATCTATTGTAAATGGCACACACACACACACACACACACACTGCTCATCATTCACAGACTCACATTTATGAATTTGCCCATTCACTAAAAATTCTCTGTCACCCCAAAGACAATACCCTTGGCATTTTCCAGCCATTTGTGGACAGGTGCTGAACCATGTGAACTAAGTTGCCAGCCCAGGTGGAACAAGGACCTCTGCCTTCTTGCTTCAGCTCTCCCAATAAACAAGACTGTCCCTTACACAGCCTATCCTGTACCATGCTTTTCTCATTTTCATGCTTTTTGTTGGTGAGTTCCAAATTTAAAATGAGCCATAGTGCTGAAGTACTGTCTAGTGTTTCTGAGTGCAAGAAGGCTGTGACTGTGATGTGCCTTACAGAGAAAACAGGTGTGTGAGACATGCTTTGTATGAGCATGAGCTGTGGCTCTCTCTCTCTCTCTCTCTCTCTCTCTCTCTCTTTCTTCAAAACCCTAACATTAACACTGGCCTGGAACTCCGGTAGGACTGTCGACATGGCCCCTGCACCTCATATTCCTGAATACATACAGGACTTCCAAGGCGAAAAGAGAAACAAACAAGAAACCTGTTTCTTCCTCATTGTCTCCAGTTAGAGCCAGAAGGGAGGGGACATTTCCTATTTCTGTTCTTTTCAGAGCTGAGCATGGTAAACCTGGAGAAGTCCCCATTCTTTCCTGTCTCATAGTGGTTCTGCAGCACCAAGACCAACATGCAGAAACACATCCATGATGCATGGGGACATACATGGACACATGCCACTTTTCTAGAATATTCTAAGTACCCCCTGTATCCCAATCAAATGTAAGTGAATGTAAGCTTGTGGGGTGGTGAATACTTTTGACATCTTTTAAAATCAAGTGCTGCTCAGTTTTAGGTTTTAATCAATTCTGGCAGTAGACAGAATGAATCTTTATTTCCAAGAGACAGCGCTGAGTCAAGGTCATTACTAAGAGTGGGAAATAAAAAAGACTTGATCAGCTGCTTCTGTTCAGCGGAGTTTCCATGTTACCTTCTCCAGCTGAAAATCTGGCCAGCGGTCTCTAACACGTTCAAAAAATCATGCTGTTAAAAAATACTTATTTCTGCCATGCCTGGTGGCTCATGCCTGTCATCCCAGCTACTCAGAAGGTGTAGGTAGGAGGGTTGCAATGCTTGACCCAGACAAAAACACACGACCCTATCTGAAAAATAACTGAAGCAAGAAGGACTGGGGAGGGGTGGGGGTTTGGCTCAAGTGGTAGAGCCCTTGCCTAGCAAGTGTAAGGCCCTGAGTAACCCCAGTACCACCAAAAACAAAGCAAGCTTATATCTTAGGTCTTTCTGATGGGGAAAGCAAAGCCTATCAGGGCAGGCAATGCCCCAGGGAAGCGTGGAGGCCAGGGAGCCCTTCGAGATGCCTCGGGTTGCATCAGAAGATTTGGGGAAACTTTGAAGAGGAGTGATAACCTGAATAAAACCAGAAGTAACTGCAACAGATCACAACACCTCGCACACATCTAAATCCAGGAGTTCATAATGTTAATACAAATCCTTGGGAGAAAGCTTGATGATCACATCATTATTTTGAAGTGACAAGTGAAGTTCTAAGCATTTCCGTGCCTTTCGTATAGGGACTGCACTTCAGAGAAACAAATGGTTGGTGAAGCATTTCAGCTAATGAAAGCAAGAGAAAGACAGAATAAGAACATCATTTCTGCATCCCCTAACTGATGCAGGCCACGCTCATCAGCAGCTGCTAACATCACAAAAAGAGAGATAGACAAGCAGTCATTATACAATTCCAGTATTGTATTATACATATAAACTGTACAATGGGTGACAGGGTTTTGTCAACACCAAACCAGAGTCTGATTGGCTTTCTACATCTAACACCCAATGTATGGGAAACATAGGGAACAGAAGAAAGTGTTGCATCCAAGGGGAACAGCAAAATCCAGACTGTGAGCTACAAGGACTAACATCATAGGTTCTTCAACATATAAACAGAATAGAAAAAGGGAGGAAGAGGAGCCTCTAGGTTAGGACAAATTATAGTTTGTTTTTGCTGTTGTTGTTTGTTCTGTTTTTGTCTTGCTATGTAGTCCAGGCTGGCCTTGAACTCTTGATCCTCCTACTTTAGTCTCCCAAATGCTAGAATTAGAGTGTGTGGCACCACACCTAACACAACAAAGTATAATTTTAAAAAATTAAGGCAGTCTGGCAAAGATATCAAAATGTAGAACTAATAAAACATTTATGGTTTAGGGAAAAGGTTTACGAGTCAGAAGAGCAGTGCTGAGTCCTGCTCCTCAGCAATTAACCTTGGAGAGGTCAATTAGCCCCTGAACCTATTTCCCCATATTCAAAATGGGAAAGGTACAGCTACCTCACAGGGTTCAGGAGGACCAAATGACACAAAGACACATATAAACATTATAGAAATATTTTGTCAATTATAAAATGTGTCCATGGTTAGGCTACAACAAGAACTTATTCCAGGAAAAGAGTTCTAAATGAAGAATTTTAAGGGTCCAGCATGGTGGCTCACACTGTAATTCCAGCTACTCAGAAGGTGGTGATTGGGAAGATCGCAGTTCAAGGCCAGCATGGGCAAAAAGTGAGACTCCATCTCAACAAATAAGCCAGGCAAGGTGGTTCATGCCTATAACCCCAGCCATGCAGGAGGTGCAGACAGGAGTATTTAAGCTCAAGGCTGGCCCTGGGCAAAAACCTGAGAACCTATCTGAAAAATAACTGACACAAAAGAAGACTGGAGGTGTGGCTCAAATAGTACCTATTAAGCAAATAAAAAAAAAAAAAAGAAAAAAAAACTTATCTCAGGGTTTCAGGTATCTAAAACTGTAGTCATAAATTCTTCCTGTACCCTTCAAAAGACACACTACCTGCAGTATCTAAAAACCTTTGTATAGAACAGGAGACTTGAGGGACAAAAGATGAACCCTGGTTCCCACACTTCACAGTGACATGCTAATGTGGTAACCTACCGGTATCACAAACTTTATGCAGCAGGCATTTATCTTCTTCATTCCAGGTATCCAAGTACTCATCCAGGCCGCAGGGCAGGCACACGCTGTCAGAGGTAGTAGTGCATTTAGAAGACATGTACTTTCCTTAAGTTGGAAGGGAAAAAAATGCACCAATCAGAAACAACACACCACAGTAAAAACCACACCAACCAAAACAACACACCACAATAATAAAAAACACCAACCAAAACACAATAATAAAAAACACACCAACCAAAACAACACACCACAATAATAAAAAATGACCAGCCAAAACCAAACAATTTTACCATGCACTGGTTTGGGGTGTGGCTTGGGGGAAGAACACTTGCTTAGCATGTACAAGGTTCAATCCCCAGCACTAAATAAATAAACGAAACACCAATCTTCAAGTCGAATTTGCATGACTGTGATCCCAGGAAGTCAACCAAGACAATATGACACTAAGACGAGGCCCCAGGCACAGTGAGTACAATACCCTGGGCTTGTCAGGCCTCTCTACTGGCTAAAATATTCTGTCCTGGGTCTGCTGTGACTGCTATGGGTCCCTCCTGGGTTTTCTGTGGTCATAGAAGTCTCTCTGTTTAAGTAAAGACCAACCCCTTTTGCACCCAAAAACCTTGTTGACTGAGTAGAACTCTGGACTTAAAATGGGCCCTGAAGAACTCAAGGAATAAAGGGGCACAGCAAGAAGAACACCATTCCCCTCCCCCCATATTCAAACACCACTCTACCATCACTCTGAATGGTTAACGTCTTGTGTGCTACATGTACTACAGGCTCACAGTTAATTTAACCAAGAGTTAAGCACGCACACACGTACACACACACATGAAAATCACTGGATCTTGGTTCTGTACATCCAAGGGTCATATTATAAGGTACCCCACTTTCTCATCTCCTCCCAAGAACAATGAGAGGGTGAGGACCCAGTGGGATGGGGACCTCACAGAGCTGTAGAAATACCTGGCCACACCCCAACAGAACAGCCTTGGGAAGGCAGCAGCCAGTCCCCCTTCTGCTCCTCAGCAAGTATGTGGGACAAGGTCTAACAAGATTTAGGCATTTTGGCAGGGACAATTTCAGTATGGGTTTTTCCAAAATAAAATTTCTATGCAAACAATTTTAAATAAGAGCAGCATTTCACATTTTGAGAGTTGGGATCATAAAGTGCTAAAATATGATTTGGAAAACTCTGCCTTCTTAAAAAATAGTGTTTTGGAAAAATGTGTTTCAGCACAAATGAAGAACCAGCCTCTGAAATTGCTTTTGATTTTATCTATTTAGGGAAAGACTTTGTCTTTTGAGTGATGTGCATTATTGCCTGCACTGCCATGAAAGGTCTCTCCAATCTGTCTCTCCACTGGTAGAAAGAGAAAAACAAAATTCAGTGAGAGCTCCCCATGAGGCAGACACCGGAAGGAACCCAGGAGCACACGTACCTGGCTCGCACCTGCTGCAACATTGCCCGAGATGTTCATAATGCCTGTCACTGGTACATGGAGGAGTGACCTGCAAGGTCACCTGAGAAGAAAATTGACATCAGGTAGACATTACACACATGTTCTTTCCAGGTTACACAAAAAGTGCATTGCCAAATTATACTTCGAAAATGTATAAGAGAAACCATAAGCTGCTCCTCTAACACCTCCAAAAATGTCATTTCCCTGTTCTAGTCCAGCTCTACCTAAGAATGTACAAGTCCAACCTTTTAGCACAGGACTTGACACGTTTAAGCATTTTGGAACATTTCAGTGATGTTATGGTGATATGGTGGATTAAAGGAAATTTGCAAACTGTACACAGAAAGTTGAAAACTGCTGTACACAGCCAAATACAAAATGAGTCCCACTTTGGTGGGGCCAAATGGTGACACTATGCTGTGTCAACTCTGGTCATGAAAGGGCGGGAACACAGTGAGGCCCCTTCCTGTAATTACTCTAGGCAATGTCAGATTTGGTCTTAAGTTATATCTGAATTTTAAGCATGAAGAAAATATTTTAGAGTGGGCACAGCAAAGTGAAGAACTCTGGAGACTAAGTTTCAACTGTCTGCTGCCTAAGGAGCTCTAGACAAGCTGCTTAAGTGTTGTGAGCTTCTGTTTCCTTTCTGCTCCCAAACAGTATGATTCTTTGCTTCTTTTCCTCCTCCCTGAATGATCGAGAGTGAATAATATTGAAATCCATTGCATCTGTGTAGGAACAAGACACAATGAATTGCACCGAAAACTGTTCACAATACAGGGTATGGGGGAAAGGGTAAGGAAGAGTAACAGAAGGGGGTTGACTGACTAAAGCACAATATATTTACAGGTAAAACACCAAGGCAAAAACCCCACTGAACAATGAACAAACACTTAAACTATGAAGGACAGGATGTAAAACGGGCCATGTTAAAGGGAGGGCTGCAGGGGGAGGGGAGGTAAATGAAGAGGGTAAAGGAGGTGAATATGGTTGAGATACTTTCTATGTATGAATATGGAACTTTGAAACCTGCTGAAGCCATTTTAAGAAGAGGAGTGGGAGAAGAGGGAGAATAATGGAGGGGATGAACCAAACCAGAGTACAATATGTAAATATGGAAATGTCACAATGAAACGCCCTGTATAACTATCGTATACTAATAAAAACATTAAGAGCAGTATCATTCTAATACTACAGCGAGCTCTGGATCTGTCCTGTCCATCTCAGTAAAACAGAACAAAACGGCCTAGTCCCCTGTACTCCCCAGAGAACCCTGCAGGGCAATAGGAACACTGTCTTCCTCACCAGCCTTTTCAGTGTCAGAAGAAAACAGCAACCACAAACCCTGCTGTGGACGCACAGTCTCATTAGAAATGGAGAAGGAAAAAGGAATCAGTTCATCAGTGTGTGGATATCATGGGTCAAGTTCCCTGCTGGGTCCAGAAACCAAGTTACAGACCTTCCCCTCAAGAGGACTGGAGTTGAATGGGAAGCACACAACTGGGCAGGTGCTACCATGAAAGCAAATGGGCCCAATTTCAGCAGAGCAAGGCCAGCAAAGTCTCCTTCAGGACCTGGTGAGTGAGCACAGCCTTATAAGTCACACAGTTCAGCCAGATGAGGAAACAGCGACTGGCAGGTACAGGAGGCGCAACGCAGACAGTTCAGACAGAGGCAGTGAGGTATGAACAGACTTTTGGGCTGGGTGGGGGCAGTAGGAGAACATCAGTATGGCTGGAGCCCAGGTCAGCAAAGGAGAGGTGGGAGATGTGAACAAAGGTAGCCAGTACTAGGCCAAGGTCAAGGAGGAAATATGTAGAAATAAAATGGCTTGGAAGAAGCCATGCATCCTCAAAATACCTCAAGTATGTTAGGAAGTTTTAAAAAGAACCGACCCAGAAAACTCAAGACTAGTTGAGTAGGGAGGGAGGATGGGCCTCTGTGACCTCACCCTGACCTGGCGAGTGGGGTCAGGAACACAGTGACTCTGAGGTCCATAGGAAGGGCCCAGTGGATTACTGGAGTAATGTGTTCTGGGAGGGTTGTGTGTGGACTGGTTTCCTGGGCCTGGCTCTCGAGCTCCATGGACACCTGTAACACAGTTTGCGTGGTACCAATGCACTCACCAGTTGACAGGGTCTTAAGAACACTGCAAGAACCCCAGTGAAAATTAGGAGAAGCAACTTAGAAGAGATCACGAAGGCGCTCCCTTCTGCTCTTCTCTTTGTTCTTATGGTGATCTATTTCCCTGGAACAGCCTCAAAGAGGGACAAGCAGAGGCCAATGGCAAAACTGAATGTGGCTGATACATTCAATGTCTGGCCTAGCCAATGACAAGGGCAAAGAGGATCAATAGGTTGGAGGAAGATGTTTTAGATGACAAAGGTTATCGACTGCTTCTGACCCATTAAGAAAGCAGCCATGGTGGGTCACAGAAAGGTGACACACACAGAAAGGTACTTTTTAGGGGGAATTTGACAGAAGGCTACTGCAGTTGCTTAGGAGCACTTTTGGATGCCATGGCTGTGTCTTGGGCTCTGAGCCAGGCTTGCCGAACATCACCTGACTGAACATGTGGACAAAGTGCTTCCATGTGATTCATTTAACCCACCCAGCATCTAACCCGGGGCCTCATGCCTCCTCCTTGAATAAGGACTCACTGCTCTGCGAAGTGACCATGTGTTCTAACTCCCAGATGTTCACAGATCATTCTTTAAAATCCACCTCTCTCTTCTAACCTCCTATCCTACTGTGGCTTTACACTCAGACACACTTGTTCTCCAAAAAGTTGAGATACAATTCACATACTGAGATGTAACTTTCTGAAGTGTATCAGTCAGTGATTTTTAGTGTATTTCCACGATACTAATTTCAGAACATTTTCATCACCTTAAAACTGACACAAGGACTTCACAGAGCAGTTGAATTACAGATCCTTTAAAGAAGAGCTGAAAATTTTCTAATGGGAAAATTTGCTATAGAGAGGCAGAAAATGATGATTTTAATCTCATTGAAACCTACTTTGTTCTCTCCTTCCACATTATATCTTAATCATACTTTCACATCTTCACACTGGCGATATATATTCAACTTAAGAGGCAACACTTACACATACATGCATTTATGGAAATGTGGTCTGGCAGTGATTTTTTTTTTTTAATCTGGAAAACTCTTCAGTATGCCCACACGTCCAAGAGAAGGTGAACTGTGCCTTTATTGTCTCTCCTCTTCCTTCCTGGCTCTCTGCTTCAACTTCCCTTCCCTGTTCTAGGAGGAGCTGCCTTCCTGAGGGTTTGGCAGCTCCCCAGCCCTCACACAGCCTGTGCTGGTCTCATTCTGATCCCATGCTTCAGATCCAGGAGACAGGCTTCCAGACTGCCGTATGCACACAGTGCCCATGTTGGTAACTACTAGGAAATCTAGTTCCCATGCCCCAGTTCATCTTGCTTGGCCAGTCCTTTGCGGACTTGGACACTGTAGGATACTCCATGTTCCTGACTCCCAGACTCCGTCCTGAGGGCCGCCTGCTTGGGTGGCCTGTCAGATACCTCCTCTGGAAGTCATTTTTGTGTGAGATTGAACAGATACCTTTTAGGAAGACATCTGCGTCCCTGTCTTGTCCAGTCTGACTCTTCCTTTTGCCTACAGGATTCTAAAGATTCCAATGTCCACCATTTCACCACTAGTTGCCCTGCCCACCAGCAGCTGGCAAGGCCCTCCTCAGGCTGCTCAAGACCCTCCCAGCCGCAGCCCTACCCCTCCCCGCAGCTGACCAGAATTGGAGCCTGACTCCATCTTCCCAGATTGAGCTACCCAGGTAGACAGGTGGTGGCTGTTATTGGTAGCCGTCCTCATGAAGTGGGACCCTGATGAAAACATGCTTCTGCTGAAGTGTTCCTGAAGGAATCCCCCAGGGAAACGGGGTATTGGAAGCAGGCTGCAATGCTCAGATGATGGGGTGATGGTGCCAGCACCCCTTCTCTGTGATATGCAATGGTAGGCCCTGGATAACTGAATTGAGATGTAAAGTTCTGGTTATCTAGGTTTTTTTCTAGCTCACCCTCAAGATGGACTTGTTTCCTTCTAAAGCAATAGCGTTACTTTCTGAAGCACAGGTGTCTTCAGGAAGCAAATGAAGCAGAACAAACTTTTTAAACTTCTAATTCTTGACTATGGGATATACTCCTTGGTGAGTCCAAAAGAAAAATGATGGTAAAATGATGATTCACTTTATTTGACTTCTTTTGCCTCAATTTCATGTGACTTAGTGTTTTGTGTACATTTGTTTCAGGGCATACAGACTGGTATGTTTGTCTTAACAGCTGACAGAATCTGCTAGAATAAGCATGTCCACAGTCTGTGTCAGGCTTTGGGAGGGAGAGAAGAGGTAACAAATTGTAAACAAAAATCTTTTTTTTTTAATAAAGCTCTGTGGACTTATTTCCCTTTGCAAAGCCATGTTGGATTCTCATTTTGAAAAACCATAAGCTGAAGAAACACACCGGTTCTGCTGCAGAGATGAGTGGGTCTGCATATAGAATCCTGTGGGGAAGGTTGACATAAATATCTATTTTTCATGCCGTTAATCAGCCCAACTGTAGGGAAAGTCATTATGGATACTAAAATTACTCTCTCGCTCCACTGAAAATTCACACTGACATAGAACAAAGCAGAGACAGGCTTGGCCCCTGCTGTCAAATTAAGAGGGAAAGAACCTCACCCAGAAGGACAAATGAGGGATTTCCCAAGGATTTTATTTTGTAAAATGTCATCCATGACTCTATTTGAGAATTTGGCTATAATTTCAGAAAGATGGCATCAAATTTCTGAATGTTATAGTAGAAGTGAATGATTTGGCTTTTGTGAAGAGAGAAACTATAAAATGTGAAAATAACACTTCACTTAGTCCTGCAGAAAATATATTCTTGATCCTACCCAAAATACAATACGAATAAATTACTAGAGACCTGTGTCCCCAGAACACTAAGATCAACATAGGTCCTTACTGTGACCGTCTCATGCTAAGAAATTATTTCTTTCTGAAGCATTTTGTCCTTACAA